CATTGTGACACAGAGGCTAGGTTAAGGCCTGACAGTAATGGATATCACATCCATAATGTGTATACATTATGGTATATAAGAATACTTTCTGCAGGGGTGTGAGCCGTTACTTCTTACCCACACTGGTTGCAGCTGGGGCAGTGCATCTGAGCAGCCCAGGGCAGGACAGCAGTGCACCAGGAAGGGAAAACTGAGAGAGAAATAGTCTAACAAGTACCTCTTAGCTCTCCTTGTGCACTTGGTGGACTGACAAAGCCTGAGGCAGCCTGTTGACCCAGGTGCCAGGCATGGTAGTCTAAGACTACAACTAGGATTCCACTCCTGTTCTTTTTTTTTTTTTTTCTTGGAAGAATACCGCTTCCAAGACCATAGCAGCTGCTATTTGATCAAGTCTACCCCAACACTTTCTAAAAGCCACTCAGTCAGTATGCTTTTTCATTCTTTTTTTCCATTACTTATGTGTCAGAAGCAAATCCATTTTCTATTTATATCCAGATTGCTTTCAGTAATGAAATCAATACATGGTACTTAGGGAATTTAGAATAAATGCAATTGTAACAGTTACAGTGAATAATCATGTTAAAGGAATGCAACTTCATTTTACTGATACCAAACATCCAGAAAGCTTGTCTAGCAGTAAAGCAATGATCAGGGAAGTCTTTTCAGAACAAAGTTTGATCTCCAATTGAAGATGTAAAGTCTATGTCAAACATTTGTTTTTCCCAAAACATTTAGTATACTCTAACAACAGATGAATAGATTATGCAAATAGGATGATATACAAACCACAATTTCATGCTCTATGTTCTATGACTGTTTTTACTTTGTGACTTTACGCATTTGTCTTGGAACTTAATGTTCTCAAATCTACCACTGTTTCCATTGTTAAACTAATATTTTATAATGACTTTTAAAACCTCTGTTTGCTCAGAAATTCTCCTTATTCCTTTGAAGTCAACCTCAGCCATTCCCAACCTCCATGTCTGGCTCCTTTGTATTTCTTCTTGCTTGGAATTGATCCTCAGGAAAAAATACTGTGTCTTTTGAAAGGTGTCTTTATCAATGAGGAAGAAACTTGGTGAAGGTTAAACCAGCTTGGGTAATATTAATGAGATATTACACTACTCTCTTGTAGGCGGCATTAGAAAGATGCCATTAGGGAATTCAGTCAGCAGGGAGATAAACACTGCTATAATGCAACATTAAATAAAACATGAAAACCCATAGGTAAATGCAAGAGAAAAGATGCACTGTGTTTGCAGACAAATTACATTGATATAATATGCAGCACATTCTTAAAAATAGCATGAAATGGAAAAACTAAAAATGCAGTCATTCTAGAAACAAAATTAAAAATAAATGATTTGAGGGATCTGAATATAACCTTAGTGTGAACAAGCTTTTTTCCACCTTGTAGTGGAAAGTATATACTGATTGTTTATGTAATGTGCTCTTAAAAACAGAGAGGATCACAGAACTGGATTGGCTTGCACGCTCTCCCTGCTCAGCATCTTTGTGGTGCCACAGCCTAAGACACTAAGTGGTAGACAGAGCACTGGCATGACCTGGCATGACACTTCCTATAATTTTAAAAAAAGGGGGGCGGGGAAGAGGGGACAGAGAAGAGTACATTTAAAGTTGTACACATAAAAAAAGGCGCTTTCCTTTTTGATCAGGCCTGAACAGAAAGTACAAAAAGCATACTTATCTATTTGGAGCTGGATCTTTGGTACCTAAACTAGGAACAAAAGGACGTCTTTACTAGCAAAGGGTGGAGAAGGGCAAGAGTATTGTGTGTTTCTCTGAAGATGTGTATGTGGTACCACTCACAATAGTTAACCCCTCAGTTGTTTACTCCACTGGTCTGCATGAGGATTAAGCATCAGTCCAAGGACTCTGACAGTTCAGTTTAAAGAAATATGAAATGTAGGTTTGCATGTGGCACGTATCAGTAAATCTGCGGTTAACAAAAAGTTGGTAGCTACCCAATCAAACCACCAGCTTCCAAACAACTAACAGTAAAAGAAAAAAAAAAAAAAAATCAGTATGTCTTGACCGCAATAATACTAAGTCACATATTACTGGGGTTTTGATGCCAATATTATTAGTCACAAGGGAAATAATGATATCTCATGCAAATCTTTTTCCTCTGATGAAAACCAAGAAAGTATAAAAAACCTACAAAATAAAAAAAACAAAGAAAATGATTAATGCTTAAGACAAGATGTCTTGATTTAAAAAGTACTTTTAATGAATTTATCTCTACCTATTTGAAACACTACTGTAAAAAGACAGCATGAAAAGAGAGAAACGTAAGTTATTGCTATATCATTCAATGTTGCTGGAGCTAATTCTACTTTGAAAAATTTTTAAAGCCGTTTTCTGTCAAATTTCTAATTAATTTATTCTGTATCATATTCTTACTGACAAAGACTATGAAACATTAATAATGCGCACCCCAAGAAAAGTCACCAATTAGTGTTTTCAGAGATGTTAAATATTTCATTACTTCTTTCATCAAAAGAATAGTTTATCTGCATTTGCTGCATTATTAGTGTTATGCTACAACAGCGTTGTTAATGCAATTCCATTCCTACTTCAATGAAATCAGAGAAAAGATCTGTGTACTTTTTTCTCATGATCTTTACAAGCTGGGAAGTAATCAATCATCCGCAAATGAAAACAGGAAACCTGTTTGCGTACTGTTCCTTCTACAAATCAGACTTCTCTTTTTGTCTCTGTAGACAGATTTTGTCATAAATTTGCTTCCTAAACTTCAACATGTCTTCTACGTCCTTGTAGGTGAGCATTTCTTCAACAGACAAGAGCTTAAAGCCATTCAATTTAAAAGCTGACATGTGCTGCACAGAATGTAACATTTTTAATGACATTTTAACCGATTCACTTAAAGTAGAACAAACAGGGAAAATCCTAGCAGTCCACAACCCCAAATGCGTGTTTGAGAAGAGCTGGTCTGAAACCTTTACACCCCAGAGGTCCAAGCATTCTAGTAAGCTGACTCCAAAAAACTGGAGTGAATGTGTATCTGACAACAATTTCACACTCTTTTTCAAGTTGTCTTCTACACTAAACACCATACTTACATACTTTACTCGATCATTAATTTTTATACTTAATGAACTCAGAAAACAGTTTGAAGGTATGTCTACTTTCAAATTTATGTACGATCCACTAATAATGCTGTTCTTCCCTACTGAGACTTCAGGTCCAATTCTAGAGTATTCAATAATGGATCCAGGTCCTATAAAACATCCAGGCTCAAGTATGCTTTGAATGATACTTGCTGATTGATCCAAGGTCTCAGCTTTGTCAGGAAAGATGCTAAAAGCCACAGACAGTAAGTTGAGCTCAAATTTCAGTTTGCTATCAGATGTAAAATGAAACAAATACTCTTGAGTAGTTCCAGTGTGATAGAACTTAGAGTTGTTTAAGACTATAACATTAAGCGTAGTTCCTTTCAGAAGAGAGCATAGCTTCTGCCGTACTTCTACTAACTGTGCTTCCTCTTTTGTGACATTACTGGTACTTTTTGTGTAATCTTGAGTGGCTCCAGGTCCCAGGGCCTGGAGGAAGTCACCATATGCATCTATTTCACAGCAAAGAGTGCCCATCTGCTTATAAAATGTCAGTAATTGTTTCGCAGTGCTGTGATCCATGTAAAATATACTGTCTGTATACACACACTCCGAGCCTATTTCTGAGTCACTGTGGTCTCCAGAAGAACTTAGCTGAGAACAATTCCCTCTCACGAACACTGCACCACACTGGCGCATTGTCTCAATATCAGGCTTGTGCAGGAAACGGTGGCAAGATGTGTATTCAAGTCCTCCTTTTCCCGAAAAATGGGATGGATCTAAAACAAATACTCCATGGGTGGTCCCAACTGTCAAATCTGAAGGGTGAGCTAATGCGGTAAATCCAGGTTTATCAAATGTGACGGTTTCTGTAACTCCAGTGCTGTAAAGTTCTATGTCATCCGAACATGTAATGAGAATTCCTGGTTTCATGTGACTGGGGAAGTCAATGTACATGGCAAGCTTCAGTTCCAACATCTGGTAAATGGGATCGCCAAAAGGCAAAGCTGTGAAAATCTTTCCCAGTGCACTTGCATTTGGTAAACGTTGACTGTAACCACCTTGAAGAAAAAGACATTTTTAATTATACAGAGGCACTGTATGAAAGTAAGCAAAACCTAAACCTATAGAGCTATTTTACATATACACAAAGGTATAACCTGCCCTTGGTCATATACTAAGTATTCCCCAAAAAATGACAGATGTAAAAAAATTGCCAATCATTCTTCTTCAAACATTTCTCAAAGCAGATCTGACCTTATGTCCAAAGTTTAGCATGCCTTAAATAGCTTATATTAAAATTGTGGTTCATTTTATTACCTTTAGTTTGCTTCAGAGCTGGAATACACACCACTTGTCTATAACTAATGTGAAGAAAGCAAATGACACCTGCCTTGTGCTTGAAAAAAAAGAAGGACCCCCACACCCCTGCTGGGAATTGTAAGTCAGAGGTAAGTCAAATAAGCAGTGTTTTGGTCAGGTGACTTGTTATTACCTGGTTTCTTTCTCCTCTGCAAACCCGATGCACCTTTTGAAAGTGTTCTGACTGGTTGGATAGGGCGGCAAGTATTCAATCTGCCTGCAGTTACAAGGACCCCTAGGTCCCCTACAGAGAGGGCCATGCTCCTTAAATGAGTATTTCAAGGCAGGAACTTAATTCAGATACTCTGAATTACACTTCTTTCTCCACTGTTTGATCGAACAACTTTGGTAGTGAGAAGAAATGCTTAAGTGACAGTAATATCTGCTATCAATCTAAATTCAAATGATCAGATCAGACACATTTGGAATTACTTTTCTGAGGGAACTGTATTTCAGAACTCTGACTCTGCCACCATATTATTTGTAGGAAAAAAAAAAAAAAGGGGTAAAACTTCAGAGTATGAAATGTAAAATAGAATATACCAGAATGAATTAGCAGCACAATAAAAGAAGTCCATTTATCACCATACAGATCTTCCAAGCATCGAAGAACATGAAGTGTTGATCCACCATTTCCTAAAGAAAAAATATTTTAGTATCTGCTGAAAAGAGCACCAATATCTATATCTATGTGAAGCATACTGGGATCTGGCGCTGTGGCAGGGTGATCAGGAGGCACGTTTTAAATGCGGTCTTCTGCTGTAGAAAATGTCATTTATTTTTAAAAAAGTCCTTATACCTGCAGAGATGTTCTTTTAAACAGACTGTCAATGGATGCACAGATATCTGAAATTTCCTAAACCAGTTCTGACCGAACAGTCTTTCTACTGTATCATAGTTGATATAATCATGCAAAGAAGATGATGGACAGTCACTTTGGAAGCCTTCCACATTCAGAGGGGAGGGCATCTTGAGTAGACAGCTCTTGGGAAAATACCATGTTTTTGCCTCCCAGTGATTCTTTGAACGGCCACAGCATTTGAAGCATTTCACGACTTCAACAGGCCATCACTTAACCATGAAAACTAGCTTGAGTAGGAAACAAGTCACACAAAAGTTCACTACTGACTTGAAGCAAGTGTTCAAAAGTACTTCTGACATTTACAATACGGAAATGAGGAAAAATGTTTGGGACACGAGGAAATGGTTTGGGATACTTTTATGTGCTCCTACAACTTACAATAGCTGGATTTCTGAAAATTAATCTCTGCCTATTCTACACTGCAGATACTGAGATTAGTTACTTTCTACACCAAAGTGAACAGGTATTAAGAATTATAGGGTGATATTATGGACAGTCAGACTACTTTCTTCTAGGTTTTTGCTGTGTGTTGAGTAATATATTAAAACATATTTGAATTGTTTAAATTTAAACAATCAGGTTAAGGTAAGAAGTATGAATTTATAAAAAACATGAGTTAGTATTATTCTGTATTCCATATGATACACTCAGAAGAGCCACATAGCATCACCAGCACGCACTCATTCAAAAGCACCCGTGATCATAGAATCATAGAATCGTTTAGTTGGAAAAGACCTTTAAGATCATCCAGTCCAACCATTAACCTACACTACCAAGTCCACACTAAACCAATCAAGGGTAGACTAGACTAAACCATGTCCCAAAGTGCCACATCTACCTGTTTTTTGAACACTTCCAGGGATGGTGACTCCACCACCTCTCTGGGCAGCCTGTTCCAATTCTTGACCACCCTTTCCATAAAGAAATTTTTCCTAATTTCCAACCTAAACCTCCCCTGGTGCAGCTTAATGTGATGGAGTCCCAGACAGTACAATGGGAAGTGTAACGGCTAAAATTAACTTACATTAAGTCCGAAAAAGCCGCCAACCCATGATGCACAACTGAATCAGAACTACACGATATTTAATGGCATTAGAGCCTACATTTCTGGTTTAATTAATACTTTGGACTTCAGCAGCATTTCGGGTCCCTTTCATTGCAGGGGCCAGCTGTCGTAGCATGTAAGCACAAAGCTAGCTTCCACCTGACCAAAAATGAGTATCATTATGTAGGTGTCTTATATGAGTACAAAAGTATGAAACGAATACACAATATATCAAGTGAGCGTAACTCATGCAATCACACCGCGAGGCGCTGCGCCTGCTCCCCGTGCGGTGTGCCAGTACCCCCGCTGC